CTGCTCTGAGCTGGGCTGAGTTGCTAGGTTGGCACCAGCTGCTAATGGCCCCTGCAGCTTCAGACCTGCAGCCGTTGCAGCTTGTGCCGATCGCATCAGCGGAGCGGGGCTGGGACTGGTCAGCGAGCGGGAGACCTGCAAGGGGAAGCCAGGGGCTGCCCACATGGGCCCAGGCTCGGTCAGCCTCATCCCCCCTGCTCAGCGCCTCCTGCTGGAGCCCCCCTGGATTTCCCTCCCGGCCTGAGCAGCTGCCCTGGCATCACGCCCCGCGCTGCGGCCATGCTGAGCATCACTGGATCCCTGTGACCAGGCCTCTGGCTGGGGAACGGCCCGGCACTCGGCTCCCAGTGACTCAGGCCAGCGTCTCATTGGCACTGAGCCCCCTGACCCCTCACTGCCAGTGGGAAGGGGCCTTGCCATGAATGGGAGTGCCCTGGGGACCCGATCTCAGGCCCTTGCACACTGGAGATAACAGGGGCCTTAGTGTCCTGAGACCCCGGCCCTCAACTCCTAGCGTGACAGGCTCTCCAGTGAAATAGACAGAACCATCCAATATTGCAGGAGCCGTGTCCGTTTCAGACCCACCCGCTGCCCCTCTCAGCCCTGAGCAAGCCCATGGGAGGAGCCTTCCCCAACCCGGCACTCTGGGCTTGCACTGACCGAAGGCAACATGATCCCTCGCCCAGAGCCCGGCTGGGTGTAGCCCGGCGCTCAGAGTGACGCACCCTGTGGGGTTTAGGGAACTCGGCTGCTTTGAGCTCACTGCGCGACTTACCACAAAAGGAAAGAGCGTCTCGTGGGGGAAGTTGCAGAGCTGTGGGGTGGGTCATTTCTCTGCAGCCCCTCGGCACCATCAGGGATCGGCCATTCAGCCAGACCCTGCCGGACAGTCCGCTCCGGCTCTGGGTCTGTTCGGTCAGGACACCCGTTATACGGACTGACGGCCGCCCGCTCTGCCTGCCCCTCGCTGTCAGGATGGACGGGGCTCGACGGCCTTCCCTTCTCTTCCTCCTGCTGGTTTTACAGCCCGGCGGTGAGTGATCTGTCTGAATTCCAGGACAGGAAACCACCAGTGACAGCGTCCCCTGCAAACCCTGCACTTGGGTCCCCATCATCCTCTCCAGCAGCTGGGGGATAGACCAGTGGGAAGCTGCCCAGACCCTGAAGAGCCCCAGGTAGCCAGGAGAGGGGTAGGCAGGCCCTGAGGAGTCTCTGGGTTTGGGACATGCATCCCCCTGCAGTAAGGGGCAGAGAGGTGACACTGGGAGGGAAAGAGATGGGGAAGGGGCTGGGATAACGAAAGCACAGAGCGATGGGGGGCTCTGGGGTAGGGAGACAGGAGGACTTGGGGGAGGGAAAAGGAGGGGTCAGGAGAACAGCGTTGCAGGGAGGACAGAGGAGGACCCCTGCGAGGTGGCCGTGTTGCAGCAGGGGATGCACTGAGCCCTGGTGGCTGCTCAGGGGGGTCTGCACGGATTAGTGCTTCCCGCTCCCGGCTCCCCACCCCCTGCAC